TTTTTTTTTATTTTTGTTGACAAACTAGGATCATACTTCCAACGTTTTCTCGCGGTTTTTATCTTTTATTTTTTCTTTAAATATATATATATATAATAGAATAGTATAATAGAATAATAATAAAACAATTGTAAACTAATTGCTAGGATATAGGAAAAATATATGTCAGGATTTTGTTGAAAATAAGTTCTAAGTATGAGGAAAAATAATACACAAAATAAAACACGTTATACTTGTGTAAGTTTTTCTTAACAAATAAATCTACTTCGGTTATTCCAAAGGGATTCATTCGTTCTTACATATATTCCGTCACATTTTTGTGAATTTAAATAAGAACTCTAAACTTTAAGCAGTTAGTGTATAAATCCATATAAGTCCCATTAATTATCTCCCACCATAATTACCATAAGACGTAAACAAGAATTATGCATTTTAACTTTCCATTGTAAGTACGAAAGAGCTTCGTTAATATCGATCGAGCGAGGTATGTGGGCTAAAAAAAAAAATTAATATAATATAAAAAGTATAATAAAATATTGTTAATTAATTCTACTCGAGGTCAAGAAGGTTCAAATATATGTAAATGATGATTGGATAAGCGAGTGTTTGAACGACAGGGCTTTTCCGGTCATGACTATATACCCAACATGGTTAATAATTGAAGCAACACACGAGTGCAATTAAATTCGAAGTTCCGCGAGGAAGGGGTTTGGAAGAATAGAAAGGTGAAGGAGGAGTAGGAGGGGTGAGGAGGGGGAGGAAGAGGTGAGATAGGGGGTAAGGGGAAAGAAGGAACGTGAATGACGCGTCACGTCTCTCACTCTTGTCGTTTTCCATGGATGCACGTGCACGGTAGATTCAAGTGTGAGCACGTGACACATCGAGACCTTAATAGCGCTGTCTCGAAGGGATTTGTGGTTTGGGAAAAGGTTTTAAGGGTCGTACTCGAGTGTCTCTTAACAGCTGCGCTTTCTGACTGTACACCTCGATGATGCTACACGGAAACACAATCACCCGACTAGTGTTTCTCTTTTTTCTTCTTTTTATTTCATTTTGTTTTTGGTATATCCTCTTTGATACCAATAACCTAAATTCTTTGGGAAATAATCTAATTAACGATCGATTCCACACAGGGCTTTGTAATGATTGTTATTAATTATGAATGTAGGATAAGTTATATTGTATTGTATTTTTGCGTGTTTGATATATTCTTATTTTAATATATTCTTATTTAAAATGATTATATTAATTGTGTAATAGAGATGTTTAAAGTATAATATACGATGTTTTCTAATTTTTAATTATTTACAAATTTAATTTTAATATATAACACGTGCGATGATATATTAAGAATATAATAGGAAAATAACATATGTTACTCTTTGTACAGAGTAAATTAGTTTTCTTATGACTTTTCTCGATATAATTTCTTTTATTAAAATATTCACAAATTCGATCTAACATTAGATACGGAATAAAATAATTGTCAACATAATTCAAAAAATATTAAAGATATAATATAACAGAAAAATAGCGTGTGCGTGTAATTTAGCATAAAATAAACAATAAATAAAATATCATTTATAAAAAAAAATTTATATAAATTAAAGAAAAAAATCAAATTTCAATAATTCTAAATAATAGTCTAATAAGAATAAAAATATTTAACAGCGATACGATTCAATCAGTAGTACATAATGTTAAAGAAAAGACGAAAAAAAAGGTAAGAGAAATATTAGTTCGTTCTTTCTTAGCACTTTGAAAATACTTCGGATTCCTGAAAGAAAGAAAAAGAGAGAGAGAGAGTTGAAAATATCTTGGTTAGACTGGTTGAAAACGGGGTGGAGGGGGGTAGGGGATAGGGGGTAGGGGGGGGGATAGGACCGATGTAATACTTATGAAAAAGGAAGAAACGTAGGAAGGAAGGAAGGAATGAACGAACGAACGAACAGCAGCAGCAGCAGCAGCAGCCTCTGTGTGGACATCGTTTTGAATAGAGTGCACTCGACCTTTCGTACTTCGGGTTCAACATACTTTCGCCGTCTCTAACCTCCGTCTAGTACGTCGTGCTCGCGAGCTCTTATTAAACGTGGCGATTTATCGCTAGTAATAACGGTGCGGTCTGCTGGCGTTGCTCGTCGGCAAAATCCTCTCCTCTCCTCTTCCCCTCTCACTCTCATCTCGAAAAGGAAGGAAGGAAGGAAGGAAGGAAGGAAGGAAGGAAGGAAGGAAGGAAGGAAGGAAGGAAGGATGGAGAAAGGGCAAGAGCTAGAGAGTAAGGGTTTATTTCTTGGAAAAGCGTACAATATATAACACACACACACATACCCATACACAAATGTTCACACACATGTTAATACACTTACATCTACAGACATCCAATACATATCTACTTACTTGTGATGAACCGTAAATGTGCTCGTACGATTTCAACGTGCGTGAGTCCCCAGAGTAGATTAACAATTTCTGACATTTTAGTGCCTTACCCGGATGCGTTAACGCCACTTCAAGTAGCGAAGCGCAGCCCCTTCTGACTGTAACGAGCTTCAGGATTGATTAACCGTCTCGTCTCGTCTCGTCTCGTCTCGTCTCCTAGTTGCAAGACCCACCTCCCCCCTACCTCCTCCCCATTCCCCCCTTACAACCACTCCTCGTCCGTCGTCCACGTGGATTCTAAGCAAACGAGTTGCCCTTTTAACCTTACTCTTCTAACCTTCTACCTACCTACTCTACCGGGATCGTAATTAGCGCGTGATTAATTACTTTATCTTATATATTTTACTTTTTTTCTCTTCTGTTCTTTTCTTTCTTTTCCTATATCTTACGAACTTATGCTTTTTTTCTTAAAACCCTTTTTCTTTTTCTTTCTATTCTTCTTGATCTGATCAAAGAGTATTTTTTATCTTCGTGTAATACGTTAATCGTGTATTTATATTATTATTATTATCAAATTTAAATAAAATCACATCTATCTCGGAAAAACTTTGCCCCCCCCCCTCATCCCTGTCAAAAGTGATATTTTTTTTGTTTATTTCTCAATTATTTGATATATTTTTTTTTAATGAAATATATAACAATTTTATTTAACTATTGGGTACGGTAAACGTATAATGGAATTTGTAGGTTTCGAATTACAACAAAATAACCGTGTGAATACGGTCATTAAAGTTGTACGCACGGGGAGGTAACCATAATTAAAATTATTTTCGAGTATATTCGAGAACGACCGACAGGTACATTCCCACGTGTATATCGACGAGTTGAAAGCCCGCAGAAGCGGAAAGGGTCACCTGTTATGTGATCGGGTTAAGGACTCGAATAAGCATTATTCATACACTGTGAACGTATATTCTTAAGTTATTCATCTCATGAATTAGTAAACACGATGAAGAAGCCCCTACTAAGTTCGTCTATTGCTAGGACCACCTAGTAAAAAGGCGCGTGTCATCATTTATTTTCATTTACGACTATCTTCTACGAATTCTATTCCCCCCTTTTTTTTTTCTTCTTTTTTAATTGAGTTTTTTTTTTGTTCCTTTCTCTCTCTATCTTCTCACAACGTATTGTTTGATCGATGTTGTTTCGATACAATTATTCGAACGATTAATTAAATCTATCGAATCTCTGTGTGTAAACCGTTTACTTTTTTTTTTTTTAGAATTGATAAGATAAATTTAGTGTTGTTGTTGTAAAATATGACATAATTTATTTTTAATCAGAAATATATTCAATTAATATTACAAACTAATTTGTACCATTCGAACGGTTGATCAAATGATCGGTCTTTAAACAAAAATTAATAGTCTCATAATTTTAATGCAAAATCATTTTTAATACCAATTGAAATAATATAAATATATATATTGTTATTTTCGGTTAAATAATAAAACAATAAGTTCATCACTTTTAATTTACGTAAAATCGAATGAAAATAAGTGATAACGTTTAATGCAGAATTTCAAATTTCGAATTAAAAAAACCGGGGTTCTTTAATTTAATACTCGTATTTAAATGATAAATGAAACAATAAATGTATAATTACGATATAATAATAATAATCATAAAGTAAAACCACCCATATAAAAAGCAATAAAATTTAACGAAAAATATTCAAATTCGATATTATATAAAAACCGATCGTTTAATCAATCGTATTACAAAATTGTTCAATATATATATTAAAAATAAAACTAATTTAATGCAAACGCGTGTGAGAGAGATAAAATACACATATAATAATAAAAACCAAGATCTTTCATTCGGAAAAAAAGGATTTTGAGATCGAAAAATGTATAATTTTTTAAACGTTAGAAAGCTTGAAAATTTCGTGCTCGTGATTCAAGGGATAAGAAAAAGAAGAAGAAGGGCTAGGTAATATTTAAAAGGAAAGCGGAAATGACTTTACGGTGGCACGTTAGTTGTGTCGACGTGGTCTTCTATATGCTGGAAATAGATTACAAACGTAATATTTCAGCCTCCATAAATATTCCACGCGTCGTGAGAGAGACGTGGTACTTCTTTCGAGCAAAAGGGCCCAACCTTATCCTTGTCTCTCACTCTATATATCTTTCTCTCTCTCTCTCTCTAGCTTTCTGTTCTCTATCTTTCTCTCTTCAATCCACTTTAACTCGACAAATATTTTCCATGAACACGAGGCGTCACTCAGAGTCGGCAACTAAAGCCACGGGCACGAATCTAATTGGAATAAAAGAGATTTTTGTAGGTGGGGTGTGCGCCCTAATTGCCATGGTCTTTCGTCATTATGGGTGGTCTCTCTCTCTCTCTTTCTCTTTCTCTTTACTTTTCCTTCTTTTTATTTTCTTCGTTTTTTTCTTTAAGTTTTTACGCTTTCTTTGAAGAAAGACTCGGTCGTATCATTCGTTTTCATCATTCGGTAAGACTTATGCCAATTTTCGTAAGTATTACAATTCGTTTACGTATCGTTGACATCTAATTTGTCGTGTATAACTATGTCTTTTTATTTAATTATAATTTATTTATTTTTTTTTTCATCGTGTTTTCTTTTTTCCGTAACAAAAGAAACATCTTTTCTTTATTTTTTTCTCAATAAGATTTTTCCATATTTACAAAATTATTATGTTTCGTATTACAACGATTGTTGCATGTAAATACACAATTACGTGAAATTTTATTATATACGTAACAAAAAAATAAATAACAATATTATAAAATTATTAACAAAGAATATAATAAACTCGTAATAGATAAACGTTAATAAATTTTTATGCGTGTATAAATGTACAACGTGTAAAAAATTTATTTAAAAAAAAGTAATTAATTCATCTATCTGTGAACACATTGTTTGTCAAAGTCGCATGACGATATTTAAATGATTTTAATAACAAAATCATTGTCTTTTAATATATAAATAGATAGAATGACACTTTTAAAGTACATAAATGTATCTTAAAAAAAAAAAAAAAACCAAGGAACGATATGTATAAATAAACTTTTTCATCTTTGCTTTCAATAAATTTCATCGATAAGAAATATGCACATCGATTTACGTTCTCGTTTCTTGTTGTCTTTCTTCGTTGTCCCAGTTAATATCTCTTGCATTCTCTGGGTTATTCCATGGTTGAATTTTTCCGGAACCGAATATCATAAATATTACAAAGGCAAGTAACTGAGCTACGATGTTTATCCAAAAAACGTATCGCCATCTTGCAAATGTATGCTAAAAAATATGAAAAACAAATCAAATCATAATTTACATAAAAAATTGAAGTTATCAAACAAAATATAATATTTAATGTGAAAGATATATTATAAAAAATTTGTTAAGATATAAAAGTATTTAATTAAAATATTATTAAAAAAATTTGACGAGAATTTTTGGGGCAATCACAAACGTTAGAAAAAAAAAAAATATTTTACGGCAAAAATAAAAATTGATAAATATTTTTTAAACATGACAAATCATACGAATAATGAATAACATCGTGAAAACATTTAAATAATTTAATAAATCATCTATAGAATTTTGTGTGTGTAATGAAATGGGGTATCAAGAATGAAACAGTAAAATTCTAATCTTTCTTTCTATCTAAGAAAAGATACGATCGAAATGAAAGATAAGAGGCGGAGTTAGTTCAGCCTTTTCGATGTTTGCCATTGGTGCAGCAGTATCTAACGACTTTCAAAGCATCTCTTAACTCACCCCTTGTTCCATTAAAGCTCCCACCAATGCTGGTAAGATGAACGCCGAGAGTGTTCCTGGCGTGTTCGTTATTCCCATAAGAATACCAGCGTAATTCGGTGCCAAATCGTTTTGATTGCAAAGATGACCGACGAAAATGGCACCGCAAACAACTATACTCAATACTAAAAGAATCGTTGACGTTTTACGATCGCATCCAATGTACATGATCACTATGAGAAATATACATGGTGGTATGCAACCTATATAAAAGAATTGTCATCATTTTTATTGCATTATTATCTAATAAACAAACTTTTATATCGATCATTAATTTCATTAAATAATATGAAATTAAACAAATACTCACTCACGAGAACAGCAAGTTTTCTTGCTCCCGTTTGAGACCAATAACCTTTATTCCTACCCCAATCTAATGCTTTACCAAGAAGTGGATTAGTTATTGCATTTATTAGATATGGCGTACAACTGATCATTGCATTCTGTAAAACCAATCAAAAAAATGTTGGTTTTATCGATAAAAAATAAATAAAAAAAAAGGTAACGATTAAATTTATCCACGAATTTTGTTCAATACTTACGGATTTAATATCATATCGTAAGATTTTGTTCATATATAGTGGTAATTGTGTGAGTAAGAAGTACCAACAAAAGTTTCCAAGCGTGTTGGTCCAAATCAATGCCCAAAATGGTACAGAAGTGAACATTGCTTTCCAAGGTATAGTCATTTTAGCAGAAACAGGTGAACGATGACCATAAGTATTAATTAACAATGATCTTTCTTCTTCCGTAATGAACTTTTGTTCTTCTGGAGAATCCTCGAAGAAAAAATAAAAGAAGACGCACCAAATTAACGGTAGTGTACCGTGAATATAAAACACTGCTTCCCATCCAAGATCTTTTAAGATCAAACCAGATGTCAGAATCGATATGACTGTTCCCAAAGATGTTCCAGCGTAGATTATCCCAACCCACATACTTTTTTCCTCGTAAACAACCCATTTTCCTACAAGAACGTTCACCACTGGAAGATTAGCAGCACTCATGATACCCGCTAAAAATCTCACGATTAGGAGAACCGTCAATACGTTAGCAGCGATTGGTACGATGATCGTTAAAATTGCATTTGCTAATACACAGATCAATAATACTAGCTTCGTGTTGAATCTATAATGAAATGGAAATTATTTTTCTGTTTATTTTTTTATTTTCTAATCTTTTATGATTATAATAATATTATAAATCGATAAATATATGTATATGGATTTAAATCTTATCGATTTAAATGATACATAAAGATATAGTTACTGTCATTATTCTAATGATTTATAAAAATACGTACAGAGTGCCCTAGTTTTTTTTTCCCGATATATTCTATATCAACAAAAATAAAATAAAAAATATTCTCTACAAACTTTTTAATTAATCATTTGAAAGCGTATGTTTGTGAAATTGTTATTTATTATTTTTACTTATTAAATATTGTAGTAATAGTTTGTGGAAAAATAGTAATGCATTCTTGTATTTCCAAATTGTCAACATTTTAATACGGTTTTATAGAAATAACATATATTAATAATACGAGCCTTCTGTCGAAATAGTATTTTTATCAAAATGATTGAATTTAAATCATTTTATCTACTCGTATATTTCATAATATTAATGATTCGTAATACACTTGATAAAACAGTCCTACATATTTTATTTTATTATTGAAGAATAGAATATTCGGTTATCGTATTATAAGTGAAAATAAACATGTCAACGATAATTTATAAACCATTCGTAATATCGTGTTTTTACGATACGTAATCGTAAAAAAAAAAGAAAAAAAACAGATAATTCTTACTTCTCACATAATAAGGAAGTTTATTTAAAAGATATTTATGTAAAGATTCTTTTCACATATGTAAAACGTATACTCGTTTAATATTACTTAATAACTGATTAATAAATACTGAGAAATATTTTTTTTTTCTTTTACATTATGACGAGAAAACATTAGTAATGTGTTTTCAATGTTAACGATACTTGAAAGACAACCAGAATTTAGAAAAATAAATTTGACTATTAATAACTCACCGATCTGCGAAATATCCCGAAGGAAACATCCCAACGAGATATCCTGCAAAATATATGCTAACAACGAGTCCTTGTTCAGTAGTCGTCCAATCAAACGGTCCTTCCAAATCCGTTGATTTCGTGTTACTTATATCCTCAAATTCAGGACACTCGTTTGATGCTGTTGATTCGCGTAATTTTACCATACCAATTATCGCTGTTGATATGTTGACCTTGAGACCGTAAATGATCATATTCGCGATGCAAAGCATTATCGCGAAAAGGTATCGCACTTTTCCATACACTATCAACAAACGTTTTTAATTAATTAATAAAACAAGAATAATATAATGGAATAAATAAAATTAATATATATATTAAACGTCATATATAACATCATATATTATCATTATATATATATTTTAACCAATTAATAAGACACAATAATATAAGCAAATAAATAAAAACAATGTATATACAAAAATATAATTATAAATATATAAATAATTTTAGGATAAATGAATTAAAAATTATTATTTGAATTAAAGGTTAATAATTTTGATATAAATTGAACATAATTAAATGAAAGGTTAAGAAATATCATTTTTATTAATAAAAATATATATACATATAATTAAATAAAAAAATTATCACTAATTATGATTGATATGACAGAAAAATAAAATAAATATAATAAACTCACTCGTTTCTTTTTTTTAATGATGTTTTCTCTCAAAAAGATCTTTGAAAATTCTTGTTTACGTTAATGGTCTAGATCACCTTGAAAAGCAGCAACAGCAATACATATCGATACTCGCGTTTTTTGTTTCGCTTTTCTATGTTCGACAGATTGAAATCGTTTTAATCACAAAACAATTTTATTTTTTAAATACAAAATTGTCTATCGGATATAATGTCAAGTATTAAATTATAACTGCGAGACTTTACAAACGTTTAGTTTCTTCTCGTTGTATCTCGTTATAATAGATGATCGTCCTAGTGTCTTCATATTATCAACACGTGATTAAAATGCCTTTGAAAACGTTCAAGAGATGGACGGAAAGAATAAGAAAATGAAAGAAAGAAAAAGAGAGAGAGAGAGAGAGAGAAAAAGAGAAAGAAAATGAATAACAAAGATGGTCACGATGCGATAAAGTTCACTTTCAGTCTCGTTCTGTGCAAAATCGTCGATATTGTGAGTGTCAAAGCAGCGCACGCGCGCGCGCGCGCACACACACACACACACACACGTTTATAATTAATTCCACCGCGTGGGAAACTACGAAGAAAGGTGGTGGTGGGGTGGAAGGTGGATGGAGGGGTCGGGGGAAGGAAATGTTCGTTATTTACGTCACGATAAATTAAACGACATTCAACACGTTTTAAATAATATTGTCCCCATTTATATTCGAAGGTTTTATTAGTTCTTTTTTTTTTTTTTTGTATAATTATCATAAACGATATATAATTGAACGAGAATAGTAGATTTGGTATTAAAATTACGACTCGATGAATTTACAAAAAAAATCAATAAAATTTTCTTATCGAGTTATAATATAAATTGATAGCCTTGCATTATTTTTTGAACGATTACGTAAAAATGACTATTCACGATTACGTCTTCGTAACGAATAAATGAATGAATATTAAATAATGAAATTGATATTTAAAGTGACCTCGAATATTTATTATTCGTATTTATGACGTCTGAATAATTTTCGTTTAACCATTGTGTATACTCTTCTAGCGGGACGTTTTTATTTGTTGTTTATCGTTCGATTTATATTTAATTAGATAAGATTTGAGTAATATCGACGATTGTGTTTTGTATATTTTATATCAATACCTTTTGAATATTTTATTTATTTATTCAAAATTATACAAGAATGTTCTTTGGTTTTGAATTTACGATGAAGAAGAAGTATGTTTCGATGTTAGCAACTCTAGAAATTATCGTCGAATAAAGATTTCATACTTTTTGCGTTTTTATCTGTCTCATAAAATATATATCCATTTATGGTATACACACGTAATACTATCTTACTTCTATTCTATCGTAAAAGAAAATACTATCGGATAAATGTAAATATATATTACACGTTTACGTGTTACACCGAGTATATATAACAGGTGAATCGTTTTTAACAGTCATTGTTTTGGAAGGTCATTTTTCTATCTATCTAGTGATTCTTTTTTTAAATTCTTATTTTACATGACTTTAATAATAGTAAAAGTTATGAATTTATATACGGTATATTCTGTAGAGTAACTTGGATAATATTTATGATTAAAACAAATATATTTTTATTGGTCAATGATCATTAAATGATGACGTCAAGTTATTTAAAGTCATCGATTTATTTTTCTTTCATAAACACATTCGATTATTATTGTATTATTCATCTCATTCTAGGTCTTGCGTCTTTTTTGGAATCTTACGAAACGAGATGAAAGAATATTATCTTATTATGAAAGAGAAAGAAAAAGAGAGAGAGAGAGAGAGAATATGTTTGACGTAGAGAAAAGAGAAGAGATGAGAGGGGTGAGGGACGAAGAAAATCCTCTCCCAAGAAGATAATAGAATCGAGTTATTACGTTCGTAGATAGTAATCCACGTATTTTCAAAGTGGGTGTGTTCGTTTCAGACGAGACGAAAGATGATAAAACAGAATCCGAGGATTTTATTAATTGGAATTGTATACATTAATTATCATATCTTTCAATTATATTGCTCGCGAAAAGTAATTTCGTTTTATTTCGTTTTTTTCTTTTTTTTTTTCTTCAATGATTAACAAGAGACAATTTTTATCGTATTTAAAGGCCAAGACGTTTTAAAAACATCATTAATTTTCGAAAAAAAAAAAACAACAAAAATTCAACTTCACAGTTATTTATTTCATTGTTTACGCGAGAATTATTATTCCACAAATCTTTATCTTTAATTGGATAATTTAAACGCGATACATCTTTCATGTCGATATTATCAGAATATAATTTTCATAGTGACGTTCAGTTAACATATACTTTCCATAAAATGCACGGCATTATTACTCTTATGGTAATAAGAAAATAATAAATAGCAAAATATAACGTAAATGTTGATTTTCCATTTTTGATATCAACGACACCAAAAAAAGAAATATTATTTGACGAATCAAAACAAAAGATGATTCTAAGTCAAGTCTGAAGTATCTTTTGTTAGAATGCAAAATGATTCAGAGATTTGACAGTAAGTTTAAGTATCGGTAAACGTGACTAATGAAATGTCTATAAGGAAAACTAAATTATTTTTCTAACAACCGAGTACTTATATCTTTTTATGGTTTTTTTCCTTATGTAACTAAGATCTTAAAGTAATGTATACGATTTAAAACGAACAAAATATACAGTCAGTAATGTACATAAATTACGATTAAAATAATAAAATGAAAATTAACTAATGAACAGTTTCGAAGTGATCAAATAAAAAATGTAAATTCCTTATTAGAAAATAAAATAAAATGCATTAGAATAAAATTAATATTATGCATAAGTCAAGAGGATTAAAAATAAAACATATTTTCTTAAATACAACACAAAACATTCTAACAAATCTATAAAACAATTCTAATACTTTTCTCTAATTTGACAATAATTTATAAAAATTTACAAGAAAAGAAACAAATAAGTTAAACAATGAAATTTTCAAATATGTACTTACATTTAATAACAGACGACAATAACTCACTTAACGTTAAATTAATCCAAATAAATTCAACGAATATAATTTATATACGAGTCATACTTCGATGCACACTAACTAATCGTTTAAATTAGTAGAATACTGATTAAAAAAAGTAAAAAAGTAGAATTAAAAAATAAAAAATAATATAAAACGAAATGCATGTTGTCCGTGGCAAGGCTAGTATGTTTCTTATCTAAACATGCAACGACGCGTGTATAGTACGATTATTCATTGGGTGTTCTCGCGTTTTTCTTCTTCTTCTACTTCTTCTTCTTCTTCTTTCTAGTGTGTTGTTGTTGTATAGTCAGCAGTAAATAGAAAGAAGCTCGTGAGTTCTTTGTAATAAATGTTTGAACGTTCGATCGGCTACTTAATATTTATGGGGTGAGGATAATAGGATGCGCCTCAACTCGGTGGGTCTACGTCCACGAACGGATGAAAAACGTTCTCGAGAATCTCTTGGACTCTTTTCTTTCTCTCTCTCTTTCTCTCTCTTTATTTTCCCACTTTTTCTTTTTTCATTCTCCCCACTCTTTTCTCTTTTACGCCAGCGCGAACGTATCTTCAACATCCGACGGATAGAGAAGAAACGCCTCTAAAATTATATTTCAGTGACTCGTATCGTTCATCCTCGAACCGAGATAAAAACCTTTCCACAACGATTAAACGCTTCGATGATTATTATTATTATATATATGTAAATTTATATATATTCTATTTTTATATACGGGAGCTGAGTTATCTGTAAAATATGGTTTTTAATAGAGGAAAAAATATATAAAATTTTAATGAGATATTTAAATTCAAGAAACAGTATTGCTACATCTTTTTCTTTTTTTTTTCTTTTTTGGAGGGTGTGGAGAGGTTGTTTTTATTTATTACTTTTGGATGATTAGGATTTTGTAATTAATTGAAAGAAAAAAAATAAAACTAACGAAACGTAGAATATTTTTATAACAGTTAATGTATGGTTCAAATAATCTTATCAACTCTTCCATTATATTATTTATAAGGTTTAGAATAAAAATATATAATATGTCAAAGACGTATTTTAAAAAGTTACTCTTGTTTTTATTTGTTACAATGAAATATTATAATTAGGATATTTTTAATCAATTTTTTTTAAAATAACATAGATTATTTTTCTAATTGTTAATCGATGATCAAAAAGATTATTATCGCTTGTCACGATATTTAATTATTATTATTTATACGAATAACATTTTGGTAAAACATAAAATTCGTAAAGCATACGGTCATCTTGTTTTTTTTTTTTATTTATAGCGTTTAAATGATTAAGATTTTTTATTCTCATATCGGATAATAAACGATCAAAATATATTCGTCATCCCATTAATCTTAGCGCGAAGTGTCAACTGATTTGACAGACGTGACAAAATGTTTCTCAAGATGACGCTAAATAAAAAGTGAATCGTCATTCTTCTAAATTCGGGATCACTCCGCTTGTGTTACACCCTTCCTGAAATTTTTTTTTATTCCATCTTTCAAAAGATTCTGCCTCATTAAAGAAGAATTTGTTTTGTTCGCGTTAAAAAAAAAAAAAAAAGGGAAAAGAAACATTTATTTTTATGCTAATAATGATTTCAATATGCGCTTACGATAAAAACGTTTATCAATTAATTGAAATAAATATATAAATACATATATAATAAGAAATATTTTCTTGAATTTCTCGATCACATTTTATAAACAATACTTATTATTAAATAATAATAATTATGATAATACTAAACATGTGTGTGTGTGTGGAATATTTCAATAGCTACTTGTAAAGTAAAATACATAATACAAATTAATTGTCCATTATATGATCCACATAATTACAAAAAGATTTATTGAATTGCATTTCGGAAATTATCACCAAAATAAATCTAAGTATAATAATGAACTTTGTCACACATTTATGAACATTTAATTCAAATCCTATAAATAAAACCTGGCCAACAATTCTACGCAACTAAAAACCAAATTGTTTAACCAAAAAATTAATCCTAATTGTAATAAACAAAATAAAAAAAACCATAATTTTCATCATTCACCATGAATAAATATATATATTTAAAAAAAATAAAATCATAACCTTCCACAACAATTGGAATGAAAAGTTCAAACCTGGAATAGGTTAAGTAAGGAATTAGATGAGAAGAATAGAACAGAACAATAGCATTTTCATTGCTGACCGATTAGTTACGGAGACACACACACACATATACAAACAATTACAAACACATATAGAGAAGTAAGGAAGGAAGGCTCGAAAAGCTGTCCACTGAAACCGGTCTCGAGAGGATTCAGAAGGAAGGGCAGCCCTTAAGGCACCGCATTGTACAGCAAAAGCCGTTCAAACTATTTCTCGAGCCTTTTGACTTCGACCGGCAATGTAAACACAACCCAAGTACCTTTTGAATCCAACGACTTCTAAACGAAGACGAAAAGATGATGGTTTTTTAACTTGTTCCGAGTTTTTTTCTCTCTGTTATATATTG